ACAATTCATTTTGTGATTTACTTAGATAATTTTCTTTTTAGAATTATTTTTCATATAACTTGTTTCGACATTGCTTTGTTTTTGTTATCAAATTGTCAGTATGCGGACTTTAACGAACTTTACATTTGTTTTATTATTTATTGAAATGTGTTGTGATAATTTCCTGTGGTCAATTAAATCCACATGCTTATAGAAAAGATGGAATGACAGAGTGTAAATAAGACAATATTACTTTTATCTGTTCAAGTAATTTTAAAAATTATTTTTGTATCGTAGTTATCAGTGGTGTGTAATGTATCCGATTTCCTAGAGGTCATAGCCTTTTAACATGTGATAGTTTAAGTAGAGTTTTACTAGCTGTATTAATAGGTTAGTGCATTTTTGGTGCTTATTTGGTGGCAATTTAGGTCAGGTTAACAAGCAGAATTTATGTCAAATTCTTTTTGCATAGTTGGTGCATTCTTGGTGACAAATGTTTATACAAGGACTCTGTTTTAGAGTTAAAAGAATTGAAGGCGAGAAGGAACAATACAATATAAAACGTTTTAAACGATATTGTTATTCTATGCAGATTTTGGCAGATCTTAAGAGGACCCTTTTATTATTTTTTTGTGAAAGTAATGTACTGTGAGTGCCTAACATATGTTTATGTGAATCTTCGCTTCATGTATTTTGTAAACTGTATATTATGTAAATATTCGCCTGGAATGGAATTCTAATTAAAAAATAGACTAGTCGATTTACTAGTATATTTTCATTAAACATCTTTGAATTATCTGTCGTCAAATTGTCCTTTATTTCAATTTACCCGGTCTGACTTGAAAGTTTTATGATACTCGACCGCCGTGGCGAGGTCCTCATTGTTCCTTTTAATAGTATGTTGGACGGTGTTTTTTTTTATCTCTTTTTTTCTATCATGCTTGCATTTGCCAATGACAAACGAAAGACTAACATTTTTTTCCAGGAAAGCAGTTTGTAGAACGAATCTTTGCCCTTCCTTTATTAATTTGCTTTTTCATGCACATGAAATATTTGCCACTGAACAATAAACAAGCAACAACCAATCAATCATTAGCTAAGAAAATTAATAACAAAGCTAATTGATATATAAATATATCACTTTTATCTGAATTCGGGGGAAAAATCTTGAATGGAACTCATATGTATAATTCATTTTATCTTCTTATCCGAATTCGGATAACAACCAAGACGAATTAATATTAAATATAGATATACTTATCCCAATTTTGATAAGGATACTCATTGCATACTAAACTCTGTGAGGTAGGCAATCTATACTTCTTATCCGAATTTGGATAAGAGCAGTTATTTCTCCTTGGTAATCTGTTTTACCTCTTTTATCCAAATTCGGATAACACAAGTTTCTGTTGATATGTACATCGTCGATCTTGTATTCCTTAGCTTAATTGTGAGAATTCGGGAATTCATTTTCTTTTTTTATAAAAAAAAATGTCGCCTACCAAAGTTCTTATATCAGAATTCTCGCTTATCCGAAACACCCATGGACTTGAGCATATGGAAATGCTCAAAAGCAATTGGAAGCTGTTTGGTGTTAAGTTCTCTTCTGCAAGAATGCGTTTTATGTTTAGAAAATTCCGAGGTACTAGTATTGTAATTCACAACTTTTATATCGGGGTCTCTGTTTTTACGTCTTGTGTCAGACATAGAGGAGCTATCCGTTCCATTTTCTGATTTTTTTTAGTTACCTGCGTGGAACAGCTCTCCGTTTTATGTTTATCGACATATTAAGTGGCTGGTCTTTATAATGTAGTTTTCTATGTTGTGTTTTGTGAACTGTTGTTTGCCTTTTTCTTTTTTAGCTATTGCGTTGTCAGTTTATTTTCGACTTATGAGTTTGAATGTTCCTTTGGTATCCTTTGCCTCTCTCTTGATAGTGTCTACATCAAAAAGTCCTGCATATTTTGGTTGTTATTGTCCTAAACATCCAACAGGGTCAATTAACATATAAACATAGTCACCAATATTAAGTCTTAATATTAACCCGCCGCATTTTTCATATTTTTGTTTAGAGGCCAGCTGAAGCCCGCCTCCGGATGCGGGATTTTCTTGCTGCGTTGATGACCCATTGGTGGCCTTGAGCTGATTCTGCTCTTTGGTCGGGCTGTTATCTCTTTGACCCACACCCTTTTTCCATTATAAATTCTATATATGGGTTATTCTTTTTCCCCCTTTTTTCATTAGTTGGCTTGATTTTACCGCGTATCTCTAATTTTACCTCGAAGAATTTTCAATTTTCACTTTATTGTTTATCATAATAATTAAAATCAGCATGTTACATGCAGTGTTTTGAAATTTGTGCCGAGACTAGAGATGGAGAGCAGACATTTTGGAGTGAAATCCACGAAGAACTTCTAACGAATACCAGCTACTGGACGCATTAGTTTTGCCGAAGCACTGCACGAAAACGCCATTGCTTGTAAAATATTAATTGTCCCACTGAATTTTCATTTCGGAATATGGGGTTAAGCCTTTCTGCAATATGAGAGTTTACATTATCCGAGACAGTGGTCAATAAAACTAGGAGTAAAGTCCTGTACAATATATAATATTCTACAAACTTCTCTTGTGCTCTAAGAAATTATAAGAAATAAAGTAATTGCAACCATTGTCAGTAATTCACAAACAGTTCGTGTTGTTTAGTAATACTTTTTTATGTACATAGTGAACTTGTTTGTCTTTTCGTGTCGTTTTTCGTTTTTTTTCCATTGCATTGTCAGTTTGTCTCGACGTTTGAGTTCTAAATGTCCCCTTACTATACAAACGCCAAAATAACACATAATTTGGAAAATAACATTAGTGAAATAGAGTCCATACTTGGCATTGGAACTGTAATGATATTTAGAAAATATGCCAGGGGCGGTAAATACATAAGAATTCCTGATTCGAGTGACCTGTTATGGTCCAAAAAAAGTCAAAACAACCCACTATCTTAAACAACTAATTTGTTTTGTTTGTGCAGGGGATGTAAATTGGGTTGGTGAGGGGTGCATGGTCAACTGTGTTCCCATATATATAATGGAGTCTTTGCCCTTTAAATCAGCGTCATAACTATTATGATGTGTGTTGAATTGTTACGTATAATGGTTTGTACATTTGGCTTGAAGAATACACTTGTGAATATTTTATAATGTTGTTTTTATTCCACCTTTGAACGTTGAACTAGTTCGTCAGATTTGGTGTCATGCAGAATCAACTTGAATGTAGTTAATATTCGTGAAATATTTGCCACTGGACGTAAAACAAACAAATATCTATCAATCATGTTTTTATTCAATGACATGCTAATTTCTGCTTTCAGAATGCGCAGATTTATTTTAATGTTTTGATAAACTCAAAATATATATATTCTAATTCAAATCCAAAACATGTTTAAAAGTCAGTGTATCAATTCGTGCTTGAATTCATGCTAACATTTTGATAATTTCTAATACCCCCGTAAAAAGCATTTTTGCATGTCATACTTTCTTGAGATTTTCCTTCAATTTCTCGGTTGTCATTTTTACCATGAGAGATACAATGTGGACTACGTGTCGAAAGAGAAAAACAAACAAAACTTCTAGGAGGCAATCGAAAGTAATATGTAAAAGAAAGACTGACGAAAATGGTGTAAAGAAATACAAAATCGCACAAAATATTAAAAATAATAAAACAATTCAGCAAGTTTGACAATTTAAAAAAAAAAAAGATAAAGGACGGATTGTGACTTCATGAAAACGAATAATGTATGTGATATTTTTTTATCAATAATGTCACGTTTTTATTTTTTTTTTTAGGGGGGGGGGGAGGGGGGATGGTCGGAGGAGCGCCAAAGACTAATACTATGACGATGTAGAGTTTGACCTATTCAATAGGCACCTGTCCGATGTTGAATACTGCATGCTGCTCCATAAATACATTTTGTTTTTGTCGTTGGGTTTGTCTCCTGACGTTTGCCCAACATTTCCTTTTATTCGTGACCAATTAAACCACAATGAAATCTTTCTCCAGTATAGGCAACAATTCATTTAGCAATTGGCGATGTATAAAGTCTTAGCACAAAACATGATATAAACTGCGTAGAATAATGAACAGTACAACAGACTAGATCAGGGATATCTAATGGTTGCTGTCAGTCATATTTGTGTTTTGTTACTTGTTGTGTCATAAAATAGGCCATTGGCTTTTCTCGTTTCTATTTTGTTATGTCGGGACCCTTTATGATACTGTCCTGGTTGCTTAATTTCATTAAAGTTAGTCTCTAGTATAAAGCTGTCTCCCTGGCAATTATACCAAATATCCTTATATATATATACATATATACCAGGGCCCGTATGCATAAAGCTACTTAAGTTAAATATCCAATCGTAATACTAATTTATCGTAGGACATGAAGAAAAATCTTAACTTAAGTAGCTTTATGCATACGGGCCCTGTACTACATGTTTTGATAGTTACTTTAACCTTCGAACTTTTGAATGTTGACCATGTGGCCCTTTTAATTAGAACAATTATATGAAAACTAATTTTTAACGTTTGCTAAAACTGAACAATTTGGAGCTAACTATTTATATACGATGTAAATATTGGCTCTCTTTTACATGACGTTCCGGGTATGTTTGCTTGACCTTAAGGATACTTTTTTTAATTGTATTTGCTTTTGCTTGTCTTTTTCAGTTTCATTTAAATAAAGCTCATTGGTTAAGCCCCTTTAATCCTCATATAAAAAAAAATTGATAAAAAATGCTGGTATGGCTTTGAATGGGATACCATCTGTGGAGATGATGTAGATGTTGGGGAAAATAGCTTTTGATCTGTAGTCGGCTGTTATTGTACTACAAGATAAGAACTTGTAACATCAGGTTAAATTTTTTGGTACCAATATATGATATATTGGGTTTTAGTTAATGGATGGGAATCTAGATCACAGTTCATTCACGTCCAAGTCGGCAGTTCAACTCAAGAGCATAAACAAATTGGTGAAGTCTAAATTCTTTTAATAAATAGAGCAAACATATAGAATGAAACATCATTACAAATCAGTAATTTTAAATCAAAAGAAAATACATCTGCTTGCGCATCTTAACGCAGTTCGTATATGCTCTCGTTGGCATATCCAAACGGAGTCCCCGAATAATAATTTAACTTTCTTTAAATACCAAATAACGTTGCTAACAACAAAGTTTGTAAAATTGTCATTTTGTCAACAGAAATTAGATAACAGATTGATTCCGTTTATCAAAGAGAATTATTTACACACGTATGTATTGAACATAAAGATAATTGATCAAATAAATGTTGAATAACCGTAAGATTTAAGTTCAATCTTGACCATAAGTATTGACAAATATAAATTTATAATCTAACAGGTTGCAGATGTAACCACAAATATTTCGGACATTTTAAAATGCATTGTGAAGTTCGAGATCATTTTATGACATACATTGAATATGTACACGTTAATAAACTGTTAAGCAATCTACATAATTAGATAGTTTTGAATATAAAATTTAGTAAAAAAATAATGTGTCACACTCAACACATAAGAAAAGACTATCAAACAAAATAAAAAGACAAAACTGATTATTCAAAATGAAAATTGATGATCTAAATGGGGGTAATTAAAAAAAAAAAATAAACAAACGAAAGATACAATAGTCAATAAAAATAAGAAAAAGAAACATAAATACCATTACCCAAATATTTTCTATGAAAACGAGATCAGCTCGACTCCACCACCCTTGGATGAAATAAGCTGAACTTTAAGCAATGCCAAATCAATGTGTTCGCTTTTATTGGATTTATTTAAATGTTCAGTTATTTTTTGTGCTCTTGCTAAAAATGTGATCACCACTTGTTTGCACGACACACGCTAGGTGTTGGCTATTAATGGCACAGGTTTTTACAGGGGAAAATTAATTTTACATCCAAATACGAGATTACATGTCAAAGATATCGTTTATGCATACATAGCTAATCTTACTCATTGACGACCACATAAAGACCTCAAGATGTCTTTTTATGGTTCAAATTGATGTACAATGTGCAAGATTCTATTTAATTTACCAAGGGGTCAAGATGGGTGTAATTCATTTCTCTATTCTTTAATTTTTTAGACCGTTTTTCTCTTTCCTTATTCATTTTGCCCTTTATTCTCTTTTTTTGCCATTTTTGTCTCTATTCTTTATTTATTTCTAACTCGTTTTCTCTTTTCTCTATTTTTTTAACCTTTATTTTGCAAATTTTTGCTCATTATTCTCTATTCGAGAATTCCAATTCAGACCCTCTTACCAGGAATCCAGTGTGGAGATTAGAATGGCCCCTTCGATTCGAACATTTGGTGTATTTGTAAATTTTTCTCTGATACTTTATTGCCGCCCCGACCCTTATTTTCGACGGTGCTCGATCCTCCGTGCCCTCTTTTTCAAAAACCTGGACTCACCACTTGGTTATCTATTAAAAACTATTTTTAAAATAACATTGTATTTGGATTGATTATATCATGAAATATCATTTATTAACATTTATTTTGAACAAACAACACAAGTAAGTGAATAATCCTCTTTGTACGGAGGACAAAGTAGTGATCCACATTTGGCAACAACTTCATGGAATTTTTTACCTTGGCTGACATTTATTGCTCCCCCATTGAGATATTCAGGCTGTATATCAATACAGACATATGATCCAGCTGCAGCAGCGTTATAGTAATTTGAAGCCAGATAACCATGGTACTCCATGTTCCAACCTGTATAGCATCTGTTTTTCCCTGGTATCATTATAACAGTGGATGCCTGTTTCACTCTACATACAGCACATGGTAAGTTCCTATTATTACTATTTGGAGCAAAATTATAATCAAATTTTGTTCCAAACATATAACCACCACCAACAACACCAGCATTACTTGTCTTGACAAAATCAGGGTCTGATGGTAGACAGACTGATTCTGGTGCTGAGCCTGACTGATCCACTCTCCACCTCCTGCATACCCTATACAGAAACATACAGAAATATTAAAACCTGTTGTTACATAAAATTATGTTTATATTAACAACGTTTTACTTCTTACTAGCGTTTGACGTCTGATTCCGTCATCAGTCATGGACCTGACAAAATTAAAGCAACTAACATGACTAAGGAGGGAAATTTTCTAATTTCTGGATAGCTGAGTGATTGTACATAAAAACCACAAACAGAAACGAAATGGTAGGTCTGTTTTGAGTTGATACGTGTATTATGAAAAAATGGTACATTTACGAACTTTCCTGCCTTGTGGAAAATAAGAACAGAGGGGCATCATATAAAACTACCGTTATTGTAAAATACGCTGGATAAAAGCAAGAACCTTTAAAAAAGTGAACATACTTTAAAATACTTCATTTGAACTTTGGTGAATAGTTATCTAAATGGCAGTCATACCCAATCTCCTTATTTTTATAAGAAATATTTACTAAAACAAACCAAAAATAATATATAGCGATAGGGGATCGATTAAAAAAGCGTTTGTCGTTTCGGCAATTTATTGCATTTTTTCCCGTACATAATAATTCCATAGGAAGCATTCGAGAAAGAGGACATCTTTTCTTACGTAAAATCTTTCGTCAACGTTTCTGTTTTTAAATCATTTCTTTAACATGATTAGTAAAGGAACTCATAAAGAATCGTTTTACTATGTACATGGAAGACATTTAATAATTCTATGAAAACTATATGATATTTGGCCCTTAACAGAATGATGATGACCTACCGAATTAAACTTATCACCGGGTTTGTACTTACGTGAGCAAAACGACGTGCCAAATAAGAGCAGGATCAGCTTACCCTTCCGAAGCACCTGAGATCACCCATAGTTCTATTGTAAAGGGGTTCGTATTACTTTTGCTTAATTTGTAAGTGGTGTTCTTTGTGCTTTTTATTTTCTAATGCATGTTTTTATTGTTTATACAGTCTCGTTAATCCTTTGATCTGTTACGATGGAGATACACCAAGAGGTATAATGCACCGAACTACACTGTCTAAGGTTTTGTTTTACATTAATTTCTCATTCAAAACTTGGTTGAGTCGCGTAGTTGTCACAGGCAGTATACAAGTAATTAAGAAACACAATAAAAATATATCTAATTGCCTTTGATTTTTATTGCAACATTTCATATGGACAGCGTTTTATTTCCAAATGAATTCTACCCAAGTCATGAGAATACTTATGTTTTTTTTTGTTTAATGAACATTAGATGACAACGATTGAAAACGCAAAATTATGGAAAAAAAACACAAATAACTTTAAACACAAATGAGAAAAAAAATAATAGAAAAGGAATTTCAAACAATGAAAATAATTTATGGTAAATAACTTCATTATATCAATCTTTTAATTAATGCCGACCGTAATTATTCTAAACTTGGATATATACTAGTCAACAAAAGAAACGATACAAGGCAAAGTATTTTCCATATATTATAATAATTAAGTTGGATACACTGTACCAAGGTAAATAATTGCCCAATTGGTCTAATATTTACAGAGTGTTATTTTCTTATCAAAACCATTGATTTAAGGCAAATACATGATTTTTTTTTTTTGCAATTTTTGTTATTTCAAAAATCGTATTTTCACCCAAAAATTAAAAAATCGATATTAGAACTTAAAACTTTAAACTTAAACATGGTCTGCTTAAAATTTTGAATGATATTTGAATAGTTTTTTTTACTTAATTCTCATCTTCGAAATTAAGTGCCGAATTTTGTCATTATTTTCCGCAAAATAAATTTGACCCCTGTGTTCAATAACACGGTATTTATTCACTTTCCAATTTGGTCAGATTCTTTTAATCATATGCATTTGCTTTGCAAATGAATGTTTTTCATTGGATAATTTAACAGGTTTTACTATTTATTATATTTTATGATAAATTTGAGTTCAAACTTGTGTATCGTTGCTTTTGTTGACTAGTATACATACCAGAAATGTTGGAGAATAGGAATAATCCATTTTTTTGAATTTAGAAATTCATCACCTACCACCAGTTCCTATATAATTTTTAACAAATCTATATTTTTTCGAATGGGAAAATTAACGAATTTAAAATAAATGCCTTATAGAGTTTTTAAATGACATATATCAAATAAATAAACTTATTCTGTACAATAATATGACTGTTATTTTAAATGTTTTCATTGCAAATCATATATTAGCATATTAAAACATTTTATTTAGAATGATAAATTTGAAGCTTACGTTCATATATATAACCTTGGTTTTTGTTTGGTTTGTCTTTTATATTTATTTTTGGAAAAATCGATTCCTCATAGCAGAATCATGTTTTGATTAATTGAATCGTAGCTTAAAAACAAAACACTTTGATCCAAATTGTTAAGGGATTCACGCTTTATATAGAAACTTGATATGTGTCCCTATCTTGGTATGATTTTCCGCTTAATGATATATATGGGTGATGTTTTTCTCACTGCACATACGATATTATAGCGAACATTAATTCCAGACCTTCAAAGAAAGGGCAAAAAAGGTTTTGCTGTTATGAAATATGCGGGATTTGTTACCAGTTCTAATAACAAATAATTTCTTTTTTTGTGTTGAAAAATGCATGTATAATCTTTTATTACCTGAGTACACAAGCTCCGTATATCCATTATTAGGACATCGTTTTCTTGACCATCTGATGTATGTAGTACCTCTTTCTAAAAAAAATAAAATGACAAACAATTTGTTTCTGAATGTTTGTTTGACTTCAAAATTCTTTTTTCGGACTAAATTGGAAAAATACCTTCAAGAAAAAATGAAAACTAATTACATTAACATGAAAATATCCTGGGAAAGAATCATAATATAACAAATATATTATTTTTTTCATAAAATGAAACCTTCAAGAGTCTTTCTGCTGAATCAAGCTGCCATGTTACAAATCTTTCAGGACAATGTAAGACAATCTAACCTGTCTAGATAAAATAATTTGCCTGCTGCCTTAAACAAAACATTTACAATGGTTTACTTTTATAAATTTTGACTTGGATGGAGAGTTGTCTCATTGGCACTCATACCACATCTTCTTATATCTATTTAAGATAAACTGCGAAAATAACCTCGTTTGAATTTTGATGTTAAGATGAGAAGAGAAATGTCCAGCGTAGCAAAAAGTGATACTTTGCTAAGAGATGTCTGATATAAAAAGGTTGACTACTGAAAAATCTTTTTGAGTAAGTTGTTGCTCATGTATCATGTAAACTATTATATAATTATGTATTACTGTACATATCGTTATGATATGTCAATCTAAATATCAATTTGACACTACAGTTACACTACAAATGATATTTCTGCAGTAAATTGGAATTTTATGCGACTGTCATACAAGTGAAAGGTTTAACTAGCTTTAAAACCAGGTTTAATCCACCATTTTTATGCCCCCGCCGTAGCGGAGGGGGCATTAAGTTTTACCCTTGTCCGTCCCAAAATTGGTTTCCGTTCTCTAACTTGAGTTTGCCTCAACCAAATGTTATGAAACTTATACACAATGCTTATTTCCACAAAATACAGATCAAGTTTGAATTTTGGTAGCGTCACTCTAACTGTTCTAGAGTTATCCCTCTATATAAATGGAAAAATTACAAATTTTTTAGTTTCCTTTCTCTAACTTAAGTTTGCCTCAACCAAATGTTATGAAACTTATACACAATGCTTATTACCAGAAAACACAGATCAAGTTTGAATTTTAATGGCGTCACTTTAACCGTTCTAGAGTTATGCCCCTTTATAAATGGAAAAATTGCAAAATTTTTAGTTTCCGTTCTTTAACTTAAGTTTGTCTCAACCAAATATTATGAAACTAATACACAATGCTTATTACCACAAAATACAGATTAAGTTTAAATTTTGGTAGCGTCACTCTACCCGTTCTAGATTTATGTTCCTTCATAAATGGAAAAATTGCACAATTTTTAGTTTCTGTTCTTTAACTTAAGTTTGTCTCAACCAAATAATATGAAACTTATACACAATGCTTATTACCACAAAACACAGATCAAGTTTGAATTTTAGTGGCGTCACTTTAACCGTTCTAGAGTTATGCCCCTTTATCAATGGAAAAATTACAAAATTTTTAGTTTCCGTTCTCTAACTTAAGTTTGCCCAAATATTATGAAACTTATACACAATGCTTATTACCACAAAATAAAGATCAGGTTTGAATTTTGGTGCGGTCACTTAAACCATTCTCCGGTTATGCTCCTTTATAAATGGAAAAAAAATGCAAAATTTTTAGTTTCCGTTCTCTAACTTAAGTTGCCTCAACCAAATGTTATGAAACTTAAACCCAATGCTTTTTACCACAAAACACAGATCAAGTTGAATTTTGGTGGCGTCACTTTAATCATTATCGAGTTATGCCCCTTTATAAATCGAAAAATTGCAAAATTTTTAGTTTCCGTTCTCTAACTTAAGTTTGCCTCAACCAAATGTTATGAAACCTTTACACAATACTTATTACCACAAAACTCAGATCAAGTACAAATTTGGGTAGCGTCACTTTTATTGTTCTTGACTTATGTCCCTTTATAATGTTATATGCAAGCGGGGGCAACATATGTGTCCATGGGGACACATTCTCCATTTATCTACATAAGAAAATGCCTGTACCATGTCAGGAATATGACAGTTGTTTTCCATTCGTTTGATGAGTTTGAGCTTTTGAGTTTGCCAATTGTTAAGGGACTTTCCGATTTCATTTTTTCTTGAAGTTCAGTAATTTTGTTGTTTTACTTTTTTTTGACCATTGGATAGTTTCTGCTCTATTCATTAATCAACTAAATTTATATAATTATGTTGTTTTGAAAAGATAGAAGAATTTTAGGGCGGGTGCCACCAGTAAAGCAGGATCTGCTTACCCTTCCGGACTAACTGAGATCACCGCAGTTTTTTGTGGGACCTGTATCGCCCAGTCTTTAGTCTTCTTTGTAATGTTTTGTTGACTAGTATGAGGTTTCGTCGTATTTCGTTTTTTTCCCATTAAGATGTCAGTTTTTCTTTGACTAATGAGATTTGAATTTCGCCTTTATAGCTTCCGTCTCTTTTTAACCTTTTTTGTAATTTTAAGAGTAAAAAAAAATGGCTCTGATCACACCCCTTTATGTGTCAATTTATCTCAACAATTCCTCCTTATGTAAACTTACCATTCTGCCTAGATTTAATGGCTGCTAATTCAGCCTTGATATCCTGATTGTCTTGTTTAAAATCTTGATAGTCTTGTTTCAAATCTTGATAGTCTTGTTTCAAACTAACGTAATCTGGAAATAGCTCAAGAACAGATTTCTCTGTCTGTAGAGCTGGCCGTCCGGAAAACACGAAAGCGACCATTATACAAAAGATGTAAATTACTAGTTCCATGGCCTTCGACCTCTTGTGTAAAGTGATTCTGTCTGTCTGAAACTGATATTAAAGAGCATGCTGAAATATGAAACAGTAAATTGGTAAAATCAATGATTTTGTGAAGTCCCTTAAACATTTCGAAAGTGTATAGAAACAGGTGACTCTTCTGGAGAATCTGATTTCACTCTTGGTTTTTGTCGAGTTCATGTGACTCACTCTTTAAATTTCTGGGTAGATTGTTGTTATTTTTGTCTGGCCTTCATCGGCCATGGTGTTGTCTTCTTTTTTTTTTTTTTATTAAAGTATCATTTGTTTATGATTTTTGTTTACTGTCCCTAGGATCTTCTCTCTAATATTAGCAGATTTTGTGATATTGTGGGTGATTTTGATAAAATCAATGAAAAAATTACTAGGGAATTTTATGAAATCATTGATTTGATGTGTAAATCATATATAAAAATAAGAAGATGTAGTATGATTGCTAGTGAGACAATTCTCTACCAGAGACCAAATGACGTAGAAGTTTTAAACAACTATAGGATACCGTACGGCCTTCAACAATGACCAAAACCCATCCCTCATAGTGAACTATAAAAACGACAAATGTAAAACATTTCAAATGAGAAAACTAACGAACTGATTTATGTATAAAACAAAAAACGAAAGAAAAATAAATATGATATACCTGTCATTAGGCAGGAACATACAGAATTTGGCAGAGTTAAATTTGTCAAACATGTATTTGGTCATATATCATGTATATAGAAAAACAAGTTTTAAATACCTAGTTGTTCACAGAAAGTTTTTCTAGTCGACAAAAACATGATTAACATAACTGATCCTTCTGAACTGGCTATGAGGAATTAAACTCTTTGCTTTTTATTAGCAATGCTTTATCAGAACATATACGTTTTTTTTTCTATAGTTCTTGTCAATTAAGTGATAATGTAAAACTGAAAGTTAACGGGATTCTATAAAATCACTGATTTTAAGATTTCTTTGTTACATATGCAGGTAAAAATATGTGCATGCAATTGCAGTATCTTTCAATAACAAATAGCTTTCTGTTGCTTCGAGTAAATTGATTTAGAACTTTGACTGATGACCTTAACTGAATCATCATGGGATACTTAGATGCTTACATATTCTATGTTGTGTTTTGTGTACTGTTGTTTGTCTGTTTGTCTGTTTGTCTTTTTCTTTTTCTTTTTTTTAGCCATGGCGTAATCAGTTTTTTTTTCTACTTATGAGTTTGAATGTCCCTTTGGTATCTTTCGCCTCTCTTTTAGACCATACAAAAACCGTACTAACTCTTCAGTTAATTTGCATTAAATACGTGTATTTTGGTGAATTAACATATAGTTTTCGCGTATGAAAATATATTTCTCTCATGGTTGTGGCCTGTTATGATCTTTTTTAAAAAGTAAAATAACACAAATTCCAAACTCCAAGCAAGGAAAATTTAAAACGGAAAGTTGGCAAAATCAAAAGCTCAAAAACATCAAACGAATGGAAAACAACTGTAATATTCCTGACAATACACATGTCTCGTATTACATTGATCGGAATGTTATATAAAACAGTGATACCAAAAATGTGCTTATTTGGTTAGCCTATCCTCCAATATATTACAAAATTGCGATATTTCCATTGGCCATTCGTTGGGTCAATGATGACCTGAAAAGGTCAGAACGGATTACATCCCTTGTAATGGATATTTGGGATTCATGTAATAGTATACAACACATATTTCACCTGACTCAAAAATATTTGTTTTGCCAAATTTGATTCCATTCCGAAGCGTACACATACATGACATAGCTTGAAAACGTCTGATATTAACAGTTTCTGATACAATATTATCAATACCGTAATCGGACTTATATTTGAAGTGAAGCTAGCGAAATCGAAAAGATTTCACCAGAATTTCCTTTTCTTCCACTATTGCTTAATATTAACTCTCTTTATTATATTTCATTCATAATAAAGATTCCTCAAAGACTTGTTTAATATTGAACATACTCCAAGTGACCACAATCAAAACACCTATTATTTTTTATAATAATATGCACAGTCACATTCTTGATTCAGTTGAAAATGTAAAATACTTCGGAGTAACAATATCGTCAAATTAAAAGTGGATCAAACACATTCAGAACATGACATCTAAAGCAAACAAGACCCTTGGATTTATCCATGTCATCAGAAGAAATCTCAAAAATAAACTCAGTGACCATTAAAGACAGTATAGTAATTTGTGTGACTTGACGCAATCTGACGTTTCAAAATATGTTGTTCGTCTATTGTTCCCGGGATTGTGCGGCAATAATAGGCCACCGTACGGCCTTCAACAATGAGAAAACCACATCGTATAGTCGGCTATAAACCCCGACATGAAAAATTCAGACCACTGTTACATAGGTTCCAGACTCGGGACAGGCACATAAAGAATGTTGCGGGGCTAAACTTATTTGTGAGCGCGCAACCCTTCCCTTACCTGAGACAGTGGTGTAACAGCACAACATAAGAACAAACTGTAAAAATCTTTAAAAGAGGGAAAAGGCCGATTTCCATTATTTCATTTATAAGGTCAAAATGTAGAATTGGTCTGGTAATTGTAAATTGAAGATGACGTACAAGGTAACATATCGTGTCACAGTTTTACATATTCACATAAAAACATTATCTGATTCGAAATACAATTTAGAGCTGTATGTTGCTGTTAATGGTATTTTAATACAGAATTACAAAAAGGTAGAGCCAATTTCCCTAATTTTGCAAATTTTACATGTTATGGTGAAATATTGCATCGAAGCACTACGATAAGCTAAATGATCTTTTTAATGTCCGAAAGACAATACATTGCTTTACTTTCAGTATAATTTTGGTTTGGGTTAACGATGACCATGATGACCTTTTTATTCATTTTGGGAATAAATACTATCAAACTGAAATACTGTTTACTCGGATAAACCCAATATCTGATGGCTGACGAATGAATCATACAGATTTCCATCTCTCTGTAGACTACTAGAAGAAACTTGCAGTTGCTATCTCAACATGCTCAAGTCGAGTGTCAAACATTTAGCCGAATTTAAGACATTAACATACTAGTATTTAACATTAAATAAATTTAGTGTTCTGTTGGCACAGAGAGCCCGATCGAAAGTGACAACTGAGAAAAGTTAAATGTTTTGCACTGTCTAAAGACCTGTTAAAGCACTCAATGAATGTTCGCATTTCGATCAGACATGATTGTGTATAAACAGACACCCTTCTCCAATACGAGACTTGCGATATTTAAGTGACTATAATTTTATACCCATGTAACTCTTGCTTCTGTAAACAGAATGCGTTGGTTGTCCCTTTTCCCTAAAACTTCACAGCGTAGACCTTTCTTATTTTTAACTTTGTCTGTTTTGTTCTTTGATCAGTTTCAAATAGTTCTACATCTAAAATCAAAATCTCATTTGTTCACTTAATCATCCCATGATCCAACCATGCATTACATATTAAAATTCATTTCATACAATGTTTATAACAGCAATGGTTTATTTGTTTTCATGATTAAAAGAGTAAAATTATAGAGGCCTACTTGAGTTGGCTAAGCTTACTCAGTATTGGATCAAGGAAATATTAAATAGGGAAGTGGTTACATGTTCCTGAGGGGAGAAAGAACGACCCAAACCTGATGTTTTACCAATTTTTACGATATGAATATTTCATCATTAATAGTCAACGAATCAGCGACGTAACACAAAAGATTAACATGCATATGCATCTATTGACTTTTTGCAAACTGAAGTATCAAAGAGGTAGTGCCAATATCCATTGAATTAATTTCACAATACTAGGGCATATTAAGATGTATGTCAACATAAAAAAGGGAGAGGAGTAGCTAAAATGAATTTTTAAAATCATATAAGAGATCATAAGAGATACCCGGGTGTCAAACAGCATTATGCTGTATAAAATAAACAAATAACTATTATAATTCGTCTTTCTGAAGATGTATATGCATTTCGTCTTCCTACTGGAAATGATTGTCATCAGATTTCAAAGGATGTGTCATGTTATTGCAGGTCTTCTGTTGTTTCGGCATGATCAGGCACATTGTTTGCTAGCTTGATACACCTTAATGTTTGCTGATTTACTGTTCCCTAGTATGATACAACTTATTTCTCGCGGGCTTATTATTCGCTACCTTGAGTCTAGTGACAGAATTCTACTTGAAAGAACATCATTTTAATGCTTTATAAGTTATAAATAATCCGCTTTATTGCTTTTTATTGTAATAGTATGTCTATGTCTTAGCCTTAATTTACAAAAAAATAAAAATGATGTAGAAAAAAATGTCCTACATTTATAAGACAGAACGCTACTTAAAACAGCATCATATATTATAATGCTTTATAATTTGATATATGGATATAATTAAAACGTCTTTTTTGCACTATATTGCTCCTAAGATACCTTATTTTAGTTGCCATGGCATTGGCGTAATCAAGCAACTAAGACTAAGTCCATATGTTACAGTGAATCTCTAGTCTAAATCAGGGGTTTTAATTAGAGCTTTTATAAAATCCCTGATTTAGACTAGAAATTTTAGAAAATTCAGATTTTTTTTTTAGTGATTCACTGATTTAATTCTGGGAATTTATAGAATAATCAATCTTTTTATTTAAATAATTCATTGGAAAAAATACAAAAAGCCTACAACAGTAATACTTGTCCTATTCAATTAATACAAAGTGAGAAACATTAATAAAATTGTGGAACACATTGCAAAGGACCCACAAAAGAGACAAAACAAGCTCCTACTACTAAATAAAATTGAGAATGGAAATGGGGAATGTGTCAAAGAGACAACAACCCGACCATAGAACAGACAACAGCAGAAGGTCACCAACAGGTCTTCAATGCAGCGAGAAATTCCCGCACCCGGAGGCGTCCTTCAGCTGGCCCCTAAACAAATATATATACTAGTTCAGTGATAATGAACGCAATACTACCTTGTTTGAAAGTTATCTAATGTTTATTGCTAAAAAGTATAAAAGAAA